ATATGTATATACACATTAAGCAACTTGATTCTTTTTTTTCTGCCATTCAGCCCACCTTTAGCTATCCCTGAGGAACAGGCTGTTAAACTATTGTCAGCAGTGCCAGTGCCTGCTCTGCTGCTCCAGCCACTGCTGTCCAAAGAGAGACCCTGCACCCCTTCCTGCAGGGGAGGAGGAGAAGGTTGCAGGCAGTTTTCCTGGCCTTTGCACAAACACAGAGTAATGGAATTACAGTAAAAGCTGCTTTCTCCCTAGGGACACAAACTATTGTAAAGAGAGAAAAAGGTGGTGTGAGCCTCATTTTATTCCTCTAGCATCAGAGTGCTCTTCTGGGATAAAAGGTAAATGCTGCCTGAGCCATTCTTCCCTGAGTGCCCAGGAACAACAGGAGGTATCATCTCTTCATGCTGGTCCTCCTCCTCAGGTCTACTCAATGACTCCTTCCTGTTGGGAAGAGCTAAGCACTGGCTGAGATGACACTTCACAAAAAAAACTTTCACCAGAAAGAACCAGGACAGAAAGACCTGAGATACAGATTTGAAAAAATACCTGCCTTTTTGTGGCAATCTAATTGCAAGCTTAGGTGTGCTATGGCCTGGAAAATAGTTTCTTGATAGGAAAATATATCAATGAAGAAATCAAAATGAAATTTCTGGGCTATTTACCTCTCAGGAAGGTTTTAGAGTTAAGATTTTCTTTTCCCCAACAGGAATTTAAATCTTTGATTTATTTCCGTAAGTTCTCATCATGGCATTGAGATTTCTGTTCCTTAATATAGCTACATATATGGGAATAAAAGGACCTAGCAATACATACATCCACTCAAGAAAGACAAGGTAAAAATGACTAAATATTATATGTTTAATTCTGTTTTCACTACTCCAGAAATAATTAAGGCCTGTAAAAATGGCAGCAGTTTTAAGTCAGGTCAAATCAGCATCAAGTGCCCTGTATTTAGTCTTTTCCCCAGAAGATACATAGTGTCCCTGCAATGACAGTTACAGGGAAAAGCTTTTATGACCTCCCTCCTTCGAGTTTGCTTACCCCTTAGATTCTTGACAAAATCTTCCAGCTTCATTTTGCGTTCTGGTTTCACATTTGGGCTGTACATGTCTGTGTTTAACAGTATGATGGCAAAAGCTAGAATGAAGATGGTATCAGGGTTTCTAAATTGTCTCACCACACCTGGGTTGCAGATACAGTATCTCTGGCTGTAAAAGAGCAAGAGGGGAAGCTGTCAGAGCTATGAATTACTTTGCTAATTCCACCAAACAAACCAGCTGCTGCATTCCAGAGGCTTTGCAAGCTTTTCTTAGTGTTCTATATATGTATTTAGCTTTCCATCTACATATTTCCCTAAGACAATCCGTGAATGTGGAAGGCTTTTGTTTTATACCACCACTGTACCTTCACTTCTTAGTACACACTCTGAGCTACACTAACTTCAGTATTTCATTTTTTTACAGCGACTAACACCCCACACCAGGTAAGAATACAGCACTGACCTTGGCTTAGTGTCCCATAGTGCCTGACATCTCATCCTGGCCTGGGTAAGTACACCTGTCTAAGTACTGCTAAGTTAATACTCTTCTTCTACTACTGCTGAAACGCTGAATGCAAAGTTGGGAGCATATATACTCTAAAATGTAAATGGTCTTATAATTCCACTCATTTAAACTACTACATCCAAATGTATTGTTAGAGATGTTCAAAAATCCTTGATTATCCTTACAGCTGGTGCCAGAAAGAACTTTTAATTGAGAAACTTCATGGTGTTAATACAAATGCTACACATGAACAGCACCAGCAAATGAAACTTCCTATTTCAGACTCAGCAAAACCCCCACAAACTACAAGTTTGGAACTGTTTGTCACTCATAAGGACACTGCAAATAAGCAGGGAAGTCACTTGGATATGCTCAGCTTCCCCAGTTCTCCAGTTTGACTGTAAGACTATGGCAGGTTTCTGGTGGCTAAGTAATTCATTTCAGCATCATACCTAAAAGCTTCAATGAGCCGTTCCACTTTCTGGGCTTCTCCTTGGACACGGATATGAGCCTGAAATTTCCTGAGTGCTTCATCCAGTTCCATTGTTGAGAAGTCCATCTCATCCACAACACAGCTAGGATAAAAACATAGAGCCATTGTGTCTCTTCATTTCTAACAGCACAGTACCAAGGATGAGATTTCAAGAACAAAAAAACCTTTCCATTCCCCATCTTATAGAGACTCATGGAATTGTTTTTTAAAGATTCAGCAGCAATTGCAATAATTGTAGGCAAGCTGTGAAGGAAAGTTGCAAATAAGGGATCAATGCGAATGTGGCCATGTAAGCAGACCCTTATCTAACAGAAGAGCTGCTGGAATGACAACAAATGTCTGACTGATGTGACATATCACTGCCAAGAATAATTGTCAGTTTTGTGCTTCCAGGCCAATCAGCTATCACACTGCCTACAACAATAATAAGTAGCTTATACTGTTCAAAATATCATATCGCAAACAGCCTGCAGCAGGCACAACAATTTGTACCACTGGCTTTGTGTCTAGCAATGTTCTTACATGCAGAGGAAAAAAAAGCTAGTTTGGATACTCTCTTATTATCACTGTAATTCTAATCTCCTCATCATTCGCCATGTCTTTCCATTAACACTTAGAGAGAAAGAATTACTTTCTTGCTCTGAAAATACAGTGCTGACCAAAAGTAGAGGAACCATTTTAATATTATCAACAATGGGAACAGTGTCATTCTAATAGTTTGTTTAAAGACTGCTTTAAAATCAGGAGTTTATTAATGTCCTATCTTTAAACTTAGCTTTAGGTTTTGAATAACCAGACACGGATCACTGCAAGTAACAGCACTGTAATGCAGAAACTGCAGAAAGCACAATCTGGTTCTAAAAGGTTTTTCTGAAATGTATATGACAAATTAATGTAGCTCATCTTTTTCTTCCAGTAACACCACAGAATGGGAGGGGTCTTAAACAAGGTCTGATGTAAACATGGAGACAGCGGATACACCTCCATGGTCAATGTTCTTAACTACCACCACATAGCAGCTACAGTAGGCCCAGAATGTAGGTCTTGGTCAAAAATTTGGGCTGTTCCCAAGAATAATTTCTAAGCTCCAGTGAAAAGACTTCAAGTAGTTAAGACACCCTAATTTACAGGATCTGGGAAATTGGACCACAAATCAAAGCAAGTAATTTGAAATTAAATTGTGTAACAAAAAAAGATAATCTGTTAAAGTATCTTTTCTATGCACTAACCTGGAGTTTTTATCAGTTTGACAGTATCTACCTCCAATCTGTAAATATGGTAATTGATATGAAATTCTCTTCTGTTGTCTCTTTTAAAAAAAAAACCCTTGTTCCCATTTGCAGATCCAGAGCACTGTCAAGAGAACTGCACAGCTTACAGGGTGTTCATCACCTCCAAGCATAGCTGAAACACCTTAGTTAACAACATTATTTCAATAAAAGGATTGTTGTGGGGTTATAATAATTCATCTCATCCTGGACTTGTGCTGTTTCCTTGAAAACAATTAGAAGATCCACACTCTTTGGAAAGCCTTCACTCTGGTCTGACTCATAATTGCAAAATCCAGATGATCACTGTAAGTAGCTCACAGTGACTCATGCTGAACAGGGATTGCATCAAACCAAGTCTATTCCCTGACTCTGCAGTGTGTTGGTACAGAGGTCCTTCCACTGCTGCCTGCTGGGTGCTGTACTGTATGGAGGCAGCTTTTAATAAGGCACAGAAGAAAAGAGAAGAGCTCTGGACCATACACATACACATTCAGTCCTCAGGAAAGACTGCATATATAGACCAAGGCAGGTTTCACTACAACTTTCATTATATTGTTAAATAAAACACTTACATAAAAACCTGGTGGTCAGAATTTTTCCTAGGCTTCCTTAATGGAAAAGATGTTGGGGCCTTTTTGCTTTCATTCTCAGCAGTTTTGCTAAACATCTAACTAAAATGTTATACAGTATTTTGAAAAAAAATGGCCTAAGGTGTATTTATGTTTACAGGTCAGTATGTCAGAGCCCCAAAGAATATGTGATTCAAATGAACAGCCTCTCTCAAAACAAAGCAACTTCTGTTTTGGTCTACTCTGTGTACAAGGTTTAGATATTTGTGACCAAGCTGCTAAAAGACTGTTTTTCTCCCTTGCATTTCTTTGGTTTTTAAAACACACTTTGTTTATTTAACCTTTTGGAAAATAACAGCTTGTATAGGTCTTGTTAGCATGTGCCTGCACATGCTGCAATCCCTGTTAGTCTCACATCTGGGCCATTTGGCTGCAGTAATTATTTTCAAGTTCTGTTACTGATTAAGCCTTATGTTGCATACAGTATTATTTTTTTTCATTCAGTAAATTATTAGAGTCTGAGGAAGGAAAAACCCCTTTGAAATAACATGCTCTAAGGCCAACGAAATTAAAACATAAATTTAGAGTAAATGACTACAGGGAATATAAATCCTTGTAAGTATCTTGGTGGGTCAATGAGGAAACCAGTAACTTAGCTGGAAAGCAAAGAAATAAATATTTGCTTACGTGCATGTTTTCTTAACCCTTGGAGTCTGGTTTGCTCTCCCTCAGAACAAGACCCAGAGACAAGCACAGTACATCCTGAGACTGTTCCTGTGTGCAGTTGCTGAAGCCTCTTCCTTGGACATTGACCCGCTCCTAGCTCCTCCCCACACCCGATACTCACTCTAACACATCCCTGTTGAACTGTTTCTGTCGATTTCCCAGGAATTCTCCAATCATCTGTCTGCTGAGCCCTTTCCTTTGCAGGAGAAAGTGGGCAACACCAACTGGAGTGTCTGGCACAAATCCTCGCTCGATGAGGTACTGGACTCCTTTTTCAGGTTTTCTGAGGAGAAATAAGAATGCAAAACTATTAATTTTCTTCCATTGGGCCTGAACACATCTGATTTAATGTTTAAAACAATTCTGCCAATCACTTTTAACTAGAGTAATACTGGTATGGGCTAGTTTCAGGGTAAACACAGCCATCCTGCTGA